ACAGATATAACTCTATGGTGATGAACCATTTATTTTAATGACACATTCAAATTGAATATGTAACAAATGCATTATTGTCGAATGCAGATTTTTTCCAATGAATTGGTTTTTCAATGCTCAATGTTCAATGGCTTGTTTCAACATTGGCTCAAGAACAAGAGTACGACATATTACAGAACCCTAGTTGTTGGTAAAGTCAGCTGTAAAATCTTAAAGTAGCACCATGTAGGGATAAGCGCTCTAATCGTGAGTATATCAAAGATAGATACATGGCCATCTGCTGGCCACATGGTCAGGGCATACTTCCTTCTTGGAGGGAAACAGATGCAGCAGTGGCCTCGTGTGATTATTCTTCATTAAAGAGCTTATTTTATATAATCCCCATTGACCACATGTTAGACCTCCTCGGAAACTGAACGTGAATGTCGAAAGAGACAACAGACATAATACAAGGGTTTGCATCTGTTAACATGACAATGTGTAATTTCACAACATGAATATATGTTCAAACTGCCCTTAGGACGTCTCAACAAACGCTCAACTAAAATAAGGAAAAGCGGAAAATGTAATAAAATAGAATAAATAAATATACACAATCTATAAGGCAATTTTTAATTGATAGCTAGTACAAGTTATTCCATGAAAATATCACTATCATCACTTGTCATCATCAACAGCATATATTCTAAGGAGGAGTACAGCAGGGCTGTCGTTTCTGTCCTTCATTGTTATGCTTAAATGCCTAAGGAGGTAGGTCATGGTGTAGCCCAATGGTTAAAGCGTTCGATCGTCTTGCAAAAGACGCCGGTTCGATTCCCCAAATGGGTACGATGTGTAAAGCCCATTCTGGTGGAATGTTGCTAAAACCGCCTTCAACTGCCTAACTATCATTAGGGGAATCAACTGATCGTGTTGTGGTGGCAGTTCACAGTATTGCCTGGTTTTAAAGAATGAAACTTTGCGGGTTTGGCATCGGTATCGCGACACTCGTCTCCGGGGATCGTTACATAAAACGCCAGATTCGGTAGGAAGGCTGTGGTAGAGATAAGAAAATATTTCCGGAAGAGTTCATGGTCTCGGTTAAGTTATCACTTTGAGCACGGGCCTGACTGTCGCTTATATATAACTTGATACGTCCGTAGGGTACCACGTAGTCAACGTCTTATCTTTAGGATTAAACACCTTGTCCGACTTTCAACATCCTCAGAAAAACACGGCATTAAATGATAGAAATATATGCCAATTCAGTTTTCTAATCACGAAGGAGTTTTTTAAACAGCGATATAATTTATCTATAGCGTTCAGTATTCTCGTTCTTTACGCTTTTTGTAAACAACAATTACGTATTGGTCACTAAAGACCAATATTAGCATTTACCTACAGCAATCAATGTCTATAACAAAATATTGGACAGGTGCAGTGAATATTGTTTAATTTGGGAGGAGAAAACACGTGCGCAATTATCGTTATCGATAACTCTATCAAAATGTTCACTGAAAACATTTTTGAACGTGAGAAAATTGCTTCAGTTAATCTCCCTTCAGATCGTATAGCTCTACAGAAATAACACATCCGACGTTTCTACGCAGGGGATGTGTTTATTAAAAAGTGAAACTATCCAACGAACTGCGGAATCACAGCAGGAATACGTATTTAATTCCTCATAACCAGCGAAGCGTTCTCGATTACTTGTGACAGCATTGTTACCTGTTCAAACAATATTGACAATGCAGTGATTAGCTCAGTGTTACAGGGTGTGATAGCACTGTATGTAGTGTAGGTAATTGATCGGTCAGTTTTTATAAGGTGCACTGTTGTGTCAAGGGTTTATCCCGATCGGGGCTCCTCACCACACGAGGTCGCCACAAACTTACAAGACTGGTTTTGCCAGGTATTTGTTTTCCTTTGAAATGATTTTTCACATCTAGATATTATTTCCAGTTTTTTTTAAATTCGATGTTGGTGTGTTTTTGTGTGTATACAAAATTGCTTTTTTGTTCATTTCTATACGATTAGGCATAATTTAAATTTTAAAACTAAAATATATTTTCTGTTTATGTATTTTTTATTTTGTGTTTCATTTTTACAGTAGCGCATACATATTACAATTCATAATAAGTAACAAAAAAGTAAATGGCAACTTGACCATATCGATATTTGAATTTATGGAGGCTGCATATATATACCTAAAATATATTGACCACATTTTGTTGCCCCATATATTTAGTTCAGAACTAAGAAAGAATAACAGGGAGAACAACGCCTTGTCGGCTCCCGGAGCGATGCCATTTTCGATTAAAAACAAGCCCAAAAACAAATACATTCTAGGTTAATTGAAACTAATGTATCTTAATCAGCTACTGGAATCCGAACTCTCATGGGATGTCACAGTTTATGCTAGAGCAGATTCTGTTTATTTGGTCGTCTATTTTGACTGCAGAGGGATATCTTAACATGACGCAACAGTGTATCAGTGAGATACTGTAGGCCCGAGGGTGAGGGACAATCGATATAGAAGCTGTACGGTGTCTGTGGGGGGTGGGGAATCTGGGACATCGACTTAACTGAATGAATATCTTACTTGAACTGAAAACGTTTTCTGCGCATAAGTATTATTTATATACATACTTATACCTTCAAATAATATTTATTCGACTAATCTTCACTTAAGAAACATAAATTCATACCAGGTAACATATACTGATTTTCATCCACAATGTTCAAACTAACTTTACATTCTTTTGCTTTTCTCAAATATTCCCTTCCAAGGGGAAAAATATAAAATTGTAGCAACCGCAATCCCTAGGGTGTGAATTTGTCTAAGAAATCGTTCATGACCCGAATCAAGCTGTGCCAATGTTATAAACATGCCAACACGACATTCGCACCGTCTTGATCGCAGCATGGGGCCGTAACCAGTCCAAATTCGATTCGATTCGGCAATGGGTGCCAGGGTATCAGTTTTCTGAAACACAATAAATCTTTTGTTAAAAGAAATGTATGTACCCGAACACTGCACATTGGTAACAAGTAATAAGATTATACACTTATGTGATTATATTCGTTGTAATAATCAACATTGGAACACATTTAATTCTTTCCCAAAATAATTTATCTATATGATTGGCAATATAGATGTTGATTAGTACAGATAAAGGCTACATGCTTCATGGATGACATCATATGTAATATAGACGTTGTGGTCCACAAGGCATCTTGTCTTTATTAAAAATAGCTTAGTGATAGCATTAATATCTGATGAAGCCGTTTCATCGGTTCTCTATACTTACAGGTATTGATAATGGATCAATCAGAGTTTGTAATGTCAGTCATTGCCAAAGTGTTAGTGTCATTGTCCCTGCAACTCACAATCTTTTCTCAGTAATGTTACAAGATGTCTTCTCTGTGTCATTATCACTCGTAACATTCTATCACTTCAACATTTACCTCACCAGGAATATGTGCTGGCTAATCATTATCACAATTATCAAGATTACACCCTTTAAACGCGGCTCGCGCCCCGACATAAAATTCCTTTCAGCTTAAACTGTCGTAATTGTCCGCTCTGAATTGTATCACTACGCGGCACGTGCGAGCAGCCGGAAATTTCGTCGCGGCATAATAACAAAGTGCACGCGCTGTGCTTGAATACAATCCCGCCTAGTAATTGATTAGGGCGCGATGACCATTGTTGATCAAGAATGACCACACTTTGAGCCATGTTGTCGCTTTGAGGCGTAACGTAATGGTTAGCGTTATTCAATCCGGGGTCTTGTGTGGGCCTCAGCCTCTAATTCACCCGCCTCGTCCTCGGCCCATTCACACCCTTCGCGGACTAATCAGATTGCTGAATAGTGTTTGATTCAGTGTTGTGTAAGAGAGGTCAAAGGTTGAAACTCGAGTGGTCCTTTCCCTTGTCCATCTGTTTCTCAATCTTCTGAGGTCTGATTAGAATAAATGGCGGAAGATATTAGAATTTTCAAGTTATTATTAAGTCATCAAAGGGCCGACAATTTCCCCTTTAAACCGTTAAGACTAATTTTAGAATACGGAGACTCAGTAATAAATAATCACCGACACGATTAGTTTTCCAAAAGGGAAATAAATGTTTTAAATGTTGGAAAACAGGATGACATTTATACCGTATTGTTTTTCAGGTACGTCGTACTTTGGGATGCTATGACCTGATTCAAGAGGTCGACGCCAGGGAGGTCAGACATTGCAACTGGATCCGGTTTGTCAAAGCATCTAGAAATCCAGATGACGCCAACATCGTTGGATTACTGGAAAAGGGAGAGCCCGTTTTCAAGATCGTGAAACCAGTTCGTCCAAACGATGAGATGGTTGCGTTCTTCGACGTTCCCGAACCAAAAAACACAACTCCGGAACGAGAGATTAAAGAAGAGACGATGGATGTGGAAGTGGACGTCGATGTAGATGCCGATGTCGATGTGGATGTGGAGAGCGTTGAGAGCGATTCCCCCATTAGATGTCTGCAGCTCCGAGAGCGAATCCTTCAAATCAGGTGTGCATATTTTCCAATGCTTGCAAATTTGGTATTTAAAAAGTGCGCGTGATAGAGGGATATCATTTGATGTTTCGCGTTGTACTGTATACTAAAGAAATATCTTCCTTTATTTCCAGAACCAGAACGAGACATGCTAAGGCTTCCCTCACCAGTCAAAGTTGTTTCCCCAATCTGTTCGCCAAGCACGAACACGACTTCGTCTCCACTCGGGAGAGACGACGATTGCCGATCTGCTGGCAGTGACGTCACCTCTAGCGATGACGTTAGCTCTACATATTCGGTAAGTTCATAACAACAGTTACTATTATAACAAATCACAAACGGAAATAAAACTGAAATATCACACCTTCTTTGAATCTTTGAACCTCCTTTGATCGAAAACGATAAGTAAAATATCCATCTTTGTCACCAGGGACACAAGGAGATTACTCCTCTCACATCCACTCCACGAGACGTCATTTCCGTTTCACCCGAATCTCAACTTCCGGTGAAGAGGAATCGGGAAAGGACATGGCTGCCATGCGATGTTTGTGGCAAGAAGTTCGACAGACCGTCATTGCTGAAACGCCACATGAGAACTCATACAGGTATTACAACACTATCTTTATCATTATTGGGGCGGTGGGGTAGCCTGAAAGCGTTGGCTCGTCACGCTGAAGACCCGGGTGAATCCCTACATGGGTACAAAAGCTCATTTCTGGTGTCCCCGCCGTGATGTTGCTGGAATATTGCTAAAAGCGGCGTAAAACCAAACTCAGTCAGTCACTATCTTTATCATTATTAATGAATGGATGGAAATGATGGAAAATCAAGATAGTGAGCCACAGCAATATGAGTTCTATAACTTTAGTAAATAATATTTCTGTCTTTCGATCATCTGATGTCAGTCTAGTCTAAACAAGCTGATACAAATCTTTAAGTTGAAACGCTCTACGTCAGTTCTGCTGATTCGCTCTAAGGTAGCCATTTGATCAAATATTGTTTCAAAATGTCCCCAGCAGCTTCTGTAATCGGTACTTCTTTGTTTTCCAGGTGAGAAGCCTCACGCCTGTGACGTGTGCGGCAAGGCATTCTCCACGTCCTCGTCTCTCAACACGCACCGACGCATCCACTCCGGTGAAAAGCCCCACCAGTGCAAGGTGTGTGGGAAGTGCTTCACCGCTTCCTCCAACCTGTACTACCACCGCATGACCCACAACAAGGTACGTCACCACTGTAGGCCTCTAGTATCGCCCAACCTCGCTAATCCGGAACGGGTCATCTGATTTCACCTCTGTCCAGATTCACTAAATGTTTTGATGTCGATCGATCGAAGTTGATTTTGACGTGATGCCTCTTTCAAGAAGTAGTGTGGTACCCTTGTGATTAAAGTGATAGCTCGTTGTGGCGAAGATTCGGGTTCGAGTCCCTGCAATTTTAACCCAGATATTAACATCCCTGCCGTGACATGTCGTGTAAAACTAAACTTTCCTCTGCCGATCCGATGAGACTACAAAATGTTTGTTTCACAATGTGTTCGTATTTCCATCTCCAGGAGAAGCCCCACAAATGCACCATGTGCTCCAAGTCGTTCCCCACCCCAGGTGATCTCCGCTCACACATGTACGTCCACAACGGCTCCTGGCCATTCAAGTGCGGGGTCTGCAACCGCGGCTTCAGCAAACAGACCAACCTCAAGAACCACCTTCTCCTGCATACAGGTACGTGTTCGAATCTCATTTACAAATGATACAATTCAGAGTTGATTATCGGTAATAAAGACTTGATAAATCCGTGATAAAGATAGGTGTCCATTATATTCCATTATATGTATGTTACATAAAAAACTGTGTCTTAATTGGTCCTATCTATGATTTTCCAGGTGACAAGCCCCACGAGTGCACTCTTTGCGGAAAGAGATTTGCTCTGCAGTGTAACTTGAAGACACACATGAAAACACATGAAGGTAAACATTCACTCTGCAAACGGGAAGAATAATTTATAACCCTCACGCCGTAATATAATTGGAATTCTGTCAAAGCGCTGTTAAACCCAATTCACTCACTCACTCTAATAAATGACCTTCCTTCCTCCAGGTGATGACAAAGAGCTCTGCACCCGATGTGACCAGATGTACCTGACCTCTAGCGGCAACGTCCAGAACGGTCTGTGCCTGCCCTGTCGCGACGACTCTGCTTCATCCCCACCGGAGAAAGTCAGGAAAACATCCCCAAAGTCGGACTTCAGCATCTCCAAACTGACCAGCGACGACAACAAACCTAAGTCAAGGAAAGTCAGCCCCGTCCAGAAACCTCAGCAAGGACTCTCTCATTCCATATCCAACATGCAACTCAATTCCTCATTCCGCACTTCGTTACCCAATCCTCAGTTCGTATCCTCCCCTTCAACGGATTTCCAGATGCATCACCAACCAATGCCATCGTTTAGCTTCGTTCCATTTGGCAAGGTTCCGTCTACGAGTTCCTATCCAGGTTTTGGTAGTCCCCAGTTTCTTCCAACCGGAAGACATTACTTCGCAAGTCCGGAACCCACAATGCATCTCGGTTCAGCTGTTTCGCATCGTCCAGTCTGGCCAAATTTGATGGCTCAAGGATTTTAAAAGGACATATAAAATCCGAATCATTTACGAGACATTCCAATTAAACTATATAGTGCATCATCTACACATCCCTAAATGTTGTCGTACGTTGAACATTTGTCTATAGGCGGATCCCAGATCTAGTCGTAACCGAACTCTTAAAAAAACTGGTTACACGTCCGTTTTGTCTATGTGTACAGACAAGATCCCAGTCCTAAGTTCGTAAAAACTGGTTACACTTCCGTTTTGACGTTGTCTATAGACGGACCCCAGTCCAAGACGTGTTTTTACAATGCTGTCCACGCGATTGTACCCAATCTGTCATCTAGTCAATGTTATGTCATGTCTTTCAATGTTATATATTATATATTGCACGCATCACATTCAATATATCCATGGCAGGTGTCCATACATTGTACAGCAATGACAATCTTCCGTCACATTCCTAGTAACTTAATAGTAGCTATTTAACAGACACATAACCATGATACCACCTATATTTACGTATTGTTGATGGTGTAAATATTGTTGACTGTCTTTCATTGTTGACGAGAGAATTGAATGCATAATATATTGTATATTTTTGTATATTAAATGCTGAAATGAATCCTACGTCTCTGTTGATATTGAACGGCGTCCATCAACTGACAACTTTTGGGCTGATGTCTTTCAGTGGCATTTAGAAGTTGTACATTGATGTCCAAGATATTTCGACGTTTCGAGACCATTCCAGGTCCCTTCACCAGGTGAACTCACCCGATGAAGGGACCTGGAATGGTCTCGAAACCTTCGTGAGAGAAATTAAAAAGAAGTTTAATCCATAAAAATATCTTGACCTTTTGGACTGTTTTGTTTGTTGTTTAACGCCACACTTAGCAATAATCGAGTCTGGACCAGACAATCCAGTGAAAAACAGCATGGGCATCGTTCTACGTACGTGGGATACGATGTGTTAACCAAGTCAACGATCCCATTGGTCCCCTCGTTCGACAAACATGGTTTGCTGAAGACAAATTCTATCCCGGGTCTTCACGGACCACTTTTTGGCTGTAATGACTGGTTGAGCTTCGGAGCGTAAATGGACATTCGTGAGTCATGTCAGTCCTTGGAGGAAAGTTTGTATTACACACTAACCATCATTATTCCCGCTGTATTGGGGCGGTGTGTGTGTGTGTGTGTGTGTGTGTGTGTGTGTGTGTGTGTGTGTGTGTGTGTGTGTGTGTGTGTGTGTGTGTGTGAGTGAGTGAGTGAGAGAGAGTGAGTGTGTGAGTGAGTGAGTGTGAGAGAGAGAGAGAGAGAGAGAGAGAGAACCCGAAGGCCTGGGTTCGAATATGGGTACTACGTGTCAAGTCCATTCCTTCCATATTCAGTGTTTGCCCTTAACCCTGAAAAGCTGCAGGTCCTAAGAACCCAGAGCCCTATTGTGGGCCCTATCAGAATATGTAGGGACTATATTTTAATATGGAAATAATGCTCTTATAATTAGTTATTGGGGATGAAAAAGCTGTTGGCCTTAAGGACCTGTGGGGCAGTGGGGTAGGCTAGTGGTTAAAGCGTTCGCTCGTCACGTCGAAGTCATGGGTTCGATTCCCCACATGCTTACAATGTGTGAAGCCCATTTCTGGTGTCGACCGCCATGATATTGCTGGAATATTGCTAAAAGCGGCGTAATACTTAACTCACTCACTTAAGGACTTGCAGGAAACAAAAGCTGTGAGTCCGAGTAGATTTGAGTCGGCTTCGGGTCTATGGACTGACGTTAATTTAGAACGCTGGTAATATTGCTTGAATATTACTAAAAAAGCGGCGTGAAACCGTATTTATTCCGGCATCAAGTCGTCGGTCTGTAAATAATCGAGTTTGGACCAGTCAGTATAGTGATTAGTGTTTGACACAATGTGCTATAGGGATAAATGCATGTCTGAGACGTTTAGTGACAATGGAGTAGCCTAGTGGGTATGAAGCGGTCGCTCGTCACTCCGAAACACCCCCCACCCCCCACACCTTGGTGATATTGCTGATATGTATTTCACATAGCCACCAAATTCTGAACATGGGTCGGTCGGGCAAGAATAAAAAAAACACTTGATAAAGACAAAATTTTCTGAATAGTCCTCTTGATTCTCATGTGTTGTACTTGTAATAATTACTCACGTTCTCTGGACTCAAGTCAGACTCGAGTTCTCAAGCTTGTGGCAGCGACTGAGGGGGGAGGTAAACAATATTTTAAATGATAAACTCACCCTCAATATCTTAGATAACACCCATTAATCGATTAATAAAATATCAGATAATGAAATCTTTGCAGATCCATCGATATCAAGAGAGAGATTATTACACTAAGGTGGCCACCGGTTCATTATACAAGTAGTACAACATGTATGCACCATATATAGAGGGTGCCATGCATATTAATCTTTACAATTGCAAGTAACTATTTCTTCTTTTCATGGCAAGAAAATCATACTTTGCTAGACAACATCTGGGTTTGTGGCTGATAATAGCTGATAAAATGTAGGATATGTTGGATTTACAATATAATATTCAGGCAACAATTTTATCAAATCTGACAAAAAAGGACATATTAAGCAGAAATGGTACTCTGTTTCAATACAGGGAACAATGCATAGATGACAAGATCGTTGATCTTTTGCAATGTAAAGTTTTCTATCTTCCTCTATCATTAATCTGTGATTTGAACACCTAAATTTAGTAAGGCCTATTCTATATGAAGTAACATTCACAACTGACAAATATTCTTCACAACATTATTCCTTCTTTAGAGATTGATATGCAATACGTTTGGGAAACGAACATTTTAATTCAAACGATGCCTGTTGATCTATTGATATATACCTTTGTTTAAAATCAAATAAGAACTTATTTATACAACTTACATCCCGATTGTGCCACACAAAACTAAATCATATTTATAAACAATTGTTTCACATAATGGGCTAAACATTGTCCACCAACTTCTGCTAATGTATATTGATAACGGTATGTGTGGTATAATATATCAAACACTAACATATCATCGGCGAAGAGTAACATGAAAAGTCTTCAGACATCAAGGTCAATGCATCTATCTTCATTAGCACCAAGGAATTGAGTAATATCATTAACATGCAGTGAAAATAGCAGTGGTGATAGTTGGCAACCCTGTTTCATACAGCTCACACAGTCAAACAGTTGTGTGTAGCCACCTTGCAATGATATTCATGATTGAACATTTGTGTACATATTTCTAATTAATCTAAAAAGATTACCTTTGACATTGCCAGTCCAAAGTTTACACATCAAACTTGCTCTATTAATGGAATCCAATGTAGCTTTAAGATCAACGAAACAACAGTATAGTCTGCCCGTATATAAAGACAAATATTAGAGACCAGTGTATCTAACACAAATATATTGTGCTTTAATGAGTTTATATAGAGTTCATAAATCTTAAAAGGTTATCATATTAGGATGATACTAGTCCCACTTTAAAAGGGATATGAAGGTGATACTTCAAAATAGACCAGATGTTTGTTTTCGTTTTCGTCTGGTCGGTCTGTTGTCAAGGGTCATAACTCTGATTTTATTTTCTTGTGTGGTAACAATTTATATGACGAGTCGGTACGTTTTAGGTTCGAGCAGAGACCATATAATAGATATATGGTCTCTGGTTCGAGTCTGCGGTGTTTGAATGAAACAAAAACGTTTTTTTTCATATTTTTGGTCGGCTATAAAATTATGGTCGGTCGGGAAATGAGAAACACAAAAAATAAATATTCTGCCCTCATAGAGTGTTAACACGCCGAGGATAATGGTAAAGGTGAATCGGTGATTCAAAGCCACGTTCCTTGACAACCCATGCGATTTATTTCTGCACAGGGAGCATGTATGCCCGCAACACCCTCTCCTATCTTTCATGATCGGCGCCCAGGGATTTATTCTCCAAACAATATGTGAAGCACGTTTGTTTTGTCCTCGGCTGTGATATTGCCCGAATTGGCTAAAGGTTTCAGAAAACAGTGAGTGGGTGAGTTTAGTTTTACGCCGCACTCAGCAATATTCCAGCTATATGGCGGCGGTCTGTAAATATTGAGTCTGGACCAGACAATCCAGTGATCAACAGCATGACGATCGACTGGGATGCGATGTCATGTGTCAACCAAGTCAGCGAGCCTGACCACCGGATCCCATTAGTCGCCTCTTACGACAAGCATGGGTTACTGAAGATCAATTCTAACCCGGATCTTCACTGGAACATTTCACCAAACCATCAGCTGCACCACCATTCTTACTGGCGTTTGTTGTGTGAGGAGTGAGTATGGCTTCACGCCGATTTTAGCAATATTCCAGCAATATCACGACGGAAGACACCAGAAATGGGCTTCACACGCTGTACCCACGGTGTGTGGGAATCGAACCCGGTCATCGGCGTGACGAGCGAACGCTTTAACCACTTGGCTATCCCACCGTCCAGGTTGTTTTGTGACCAAAACTAGACCACATATTGCTCAGTAATTGGTTTTCACTGAATCTCAGATGGTCAATTAATCGGTTAATGATGAATATTATTTCCAGAAATATAGCAATTGCTGAAATTGATGCCTCCTGATTTTAGAGGTTTATTTCTTTATAATTTGATAAGTTTCTGAATTTATTTTGTTTTCACTTACGATGTATTTGGTTTTGTGTTTTTTAAATATTATTTTCATTTTATATAGACTTTTAAGGTAGGTTGCAGATTTAATTTTAACAGTCCACTGCCCACACTGCAACCATTGGTAGATGACCGCATACTTTAATTGACAATGCCCCAATCTACCCATACATCAGTGTTCCTTCCGGTGCAGTTCCTTTCGCATCGTGCAGTTTCCCGCGCGCGCCTCGATGTCCCGTTGCGTGAGAAAGTCTCCCACAAGATCAAGGTTGTTGAACTAAGCGGAAGATCAAGGTTGTTTGTTAGATAAGCTATGACTTCATGCCGAGACACGAGTTTCGTGAAACAATCTCAATACGGGTTGATT